ATATTGGACATATGTTCCTGATTCACCTTTGCTTGACTATATCCCAGATGGGACAAGCTTCCTTGCCTCAAGTTTTTAGACCTTGAGAAATTATAATAATTTATAAAGAAATTATCATTTATAAAGAAATTTATAATTTATAAAATTATAAAATTATAAAAGAGAAATTATAATGTCTCTTGTATTCTTCTTAAAGGTGACCAGTTATTAGAACTCAATTATGTACTGGTCTAGAAATCAATCCAATATTGGAAATAACAGTCTACTTTTGGAAGACTGGATCTAGACTTTGTCAGAGACATATTTGGAAATTAGCTGTAGCTCACTATGATGGTACAATAGCAAGAGATAAAGATGGGACAGGATCTGGATTTCAAACAAGGGTTGGTGCATGTTTTAAGGCTCTTTTAATTGTCAAGCTAAAATTGGTTTTGTCTCTTCTACAGTATTTATTGTAAGTTGCATTGACTGTATAATTTCCAGTTGTGTTAGTGTGTTGAAACCTGGCATGTCTGTTATGAGGGTCTATCAACCAGCTTTAATCTTACTACCCTGAGTATTAGAAAACCTTGATTTGCTCAAAAAAAGCTTGAAAGTGCTGGAGGAAGTGAGTTAGGCTTTAAGCAGAAGCAAGAGGGTAGTGGGCTTGATTGTTGCTGGTATAACAGCTTTAATTTCATTAATTGCTAGCACCACTGCTTCTGCAATAGCATTGACACAAGGAGTTAAGACAATTATTTTTGTTAACCATTAATTTCTAGCAAAAAAAAGTTACTAATGTATTGAGTATACAAAAGGATTTATATGGATATCTGGAACAACAGATGATGCTCTATAATCCACTCAAATTATCTGAAAAAGGTTCAGGGTTCAAGAGTTAGGAGCTATCCCAAGTGTCATGACAAATATCACTGAAGTAGTGTTACTTTTGAAATTCACAAGGATTGTCATTATAATTAGAAAAAAGTTTAAAGACACCTGTAGGATATTTGGCATAATCCTAACACCTCTCTGGATGTGTTAACTTTGCATAATCAGATCATAGATTTAAAGAATGCTGCTCTGTTGAGCTTTGATGCTGCAGATAATACTGATAAAATTATCCACGGACTGAGGTCAGTATTTCCATTTTTGTCAAAACTCAGGAATGGCATATATAGCTTGATCAGGCTAGCCCTTCTTGTCCTGGGAATACTTTTATTCCTGCCCATCATGTTAAAGCTTATCTTTAACAACATCAACATGTAGGCAGCCAAAGTACATGGCCTGAACCTGAAAATGGACCCCCAGGCAGAGTTATTAAATTAACAGGCTGGCAAGCCAAGGATGGGTAAGATTCTTCACAGAGCCTTACCAACCTAAGATAGAAGTGCATTGTTTTTGATAATGCATATTCCATAATGAGTGAGAAATGCATTCTTGCCAGAATGACCTAAGACAGGCTCAGTCTTGTTAATGAAATAAAAAGGGGAAGAGGTGGAGAGCCTTTGGGGCTGCTTGACAGGACATTAGGCTAGAATAAAGAAGTAATTTCAGGTAGGAATCTAAATCGTAGGCTACAACAAAGAAGTGATTTCAGACAGGAATCTAAATTTTACACTAGAACAAAAAAGTAGGCTTCAGACATGAAAATGACCTTGGGTTAGGACAGGGAAGTAGGTTCAGATACTTTGATCATCCTGATAAGCCTTTAGAAATATTGATCACAGGTGTGTTCACAAAATTGGGTTTAATGCCTTGCGACTATTTGTGTTTATTTATTACTTGTTCCTTGACTATTTGCATCTATTATATTGCTAGACCCTCAACCTAGAACTGACCTTAATACATGCATGTAATCAAAATGATATAAAAGCATAAAAGAAGAGGGGGTATAGTATAGGGGGTTCTAAGGAGGGGAAATGGGGAAAGGGGATGACATCAGTATTGTAAATAAATAAAATATCCAATAAAAAAAGAAAGGTTTAGAATGAAGGCAAAGTCTAAAGAAAGAAAATCAGTTTGCATTAAAAAAAGAAACTAGTTAAAAATAAGCTTGGTGACCTTTCCCATTGATGACACGATAAAGCAACACGCACAGAGATTTTCACATACAAACAGTGGCTCAAGGACTCCTCATCTCAGCCCTTCCTTTTGATAAATAACTATAGCATAAACAGTTTCTATTGCAGGCACAGGCTCCACGAGTATAATCCACATTTTCTTTCCTTTGGAAGGTAAGTAAAAGAGGCAATGCAGTAACCAAACAAAACACCAGGTGAAACTCAGAGCTCTTAATCTGCAGTGGTGTATCACTAAAGAAGTGACCACTGTCAGATGGTTCATTTAATTCAGGGATGGCAAAGATTGTGGTTGGCATATGAATAGTCTTCTACAACCTGACATATTATTTTCTTTGAGTGATGGTCTTTGTCTGTAGCCTAGGTTGATCTTATACTTGTGATCCTCTGGTCCATACTACCTGAGAGCTGGGATTACTGGGCTTACACTGTCACACTCAGTTTACAGTCTAAGGTGATAATAAAAACTGAAGCTGAAGGAGGGAGACGAAATCCTCTGCTTCATTCAAAATGCTTGCCTTCACAACATAAGTGTATTCAGTACTTTAGTAAGTGTGTAGACATGTTATTGCTAAGATTCAATGAATAAACTAGTATGTGGTCATTAATACATGAAACTCTTCTCTCATTTCTCTCCACAACTGGTCCTTCCTTTCCAAATTAATGCTCTGTTCCTAAATCCTTTAAGTACATGTAAGCATATAAGTGTACATGTACATATATTATTAAAAAGGAAAACATATTTCAGCAGGCTTATATTTGTGTTCAAATATGAGAAAATTTGACCTTATAAAACAAAAGATGAAAGAGGAGAAGGAAATTAAATTGATTAAGTCGGAATTTTTTAAGGTGGAATTTTCATTTCAGAGGCTTATAGTAAAATACCTTTAGATGAAAGCATTTTTTTTAATTACGAAAACTAAAAATACTAGAATATAATTAAAATATGCTCTAGTTGTTGTAAAGAAAAAGCACCATAAAATTCTATCAATCTTAACAGCAAACGGTTGAGAAGTTCTCGAAAAAATTAATTAAGAAACAAAATATATGACTCGAACCCAATGTAGAGCAAACCAGGCTCAGTATGAGTTCCAGGAGTGCAGAGACAAGGACTCTGCAACTGAGTCTAGTTAAATCCACATAACACACTCAATAAAATACTTAACATATGCCATAAACAGAAATTCCAAACTCAGAAGAAACCACCAACCTGAATTGGTGGCCTCTCTAAAGTCTGTTGTAAGAGCCAAGGGAAACCTTTCCTTCTCCCTCCCTCTTCTTGTGCCTGCCTTCCAGAAACTATTACAGCTTAACCTTCTCCCATCATATGCCCCTTTCTCTTTCTGGTCCATACATTTTGCCTCCTCCCTCCCTTGCTCATTCTTTGTCTATCTTTCTGTCTGTCTTTGTGTCTGTCTCTGATTCTGTCTCTGTCTTTGTTTCTATCTCAGTCTGCTAGTCAGTCAATCTGTCCATCTGTCAGTCTGTCTGTCTCTGTCTGTCTTTCTCTCTGTCTCTTTCTCTCTCTCTCTCTCTCACTCACACACACACAGACGCACAGACACACAGACACACACACACACACACACACAGAGAGAGAGAGAGAGAGAGAGAGCCAGACACACACACACACACACACAGAGAGAGAGAGAGAGAGAGAGAGAGAGAGAGAGAGAGAGAGAGAGAACACTCTCCTGGCCAACAAACAAACAAGCAGATCCTGTTTTTTAAAAAAACAGAATAGCTAATGACAGAATTATTTTCAATGGCTGAGAAAGGAGGGAGGAGCAGAGAGAATGAAATCCCCCAGGACTAACATATTAATTAGGTTTGTTCCCCTCAAACTTATCAATTCAATTGCGCAAACTCGAATGCCAATTATGTAAGGTACAAATCACTGATCCGATTATTTCAACAGCAGGTTTTGGTGTGTGGCGTCTGTTGAGGATTCAACAGAAAGCAAAACAGGCAAGACCTGTTGACCTCAAAGCACACATGAGTTCCCATTTGAGATGTAATTGCAGCTCAGCACAAGTGAGCCAGGCAGGTTAATTCTGCATTGAAGAACCCTCTGAATACCTCCCTTGGAAAAGCTGTTTATCTCTAACTAGCTGCATCTTGCATTCAGTCCCTCAAGTGAAAGCTAGAGAGGTCTTTTAGCATAGGATGGGGTAAAAAGGGATTGGGATCCTTCATCAGATCTGTTGCTGGAGTCTAGCAGGTCATCTCCAAGCAGAAAGCATCCCACCTCTGTGAGCTCCATAAATATAAATATTCAGCAGTGTAATGCGAGAAGCTGAGGAGGTGTGCCCCCCCAAAAAAATATGTGTTCTTAGGATTTAATATTTTTAGCATCTGGTGAGAGTTATTATGAAAGAGAAGAGAAATTATAAGTAATCCTAACTGAGTCTTTCTGGCCTGACAATGGATATTGTCTTTTGTGTTGTTTCTAATAGTTCTAGTTTGAAATGACTGTACACACTCAGTAGGTTGCAAACCAGCGTAGAAGTTCTTCGTGTCCTTCCCTGAACTTCGTTTAATGATGTTAATCTTATGGATCTATAGGATGACATGGAAACCAGAAAATAGACATCGGCAGAATCTGTAGACCATGTACAGATTTTGGTAGGATTGCCCATTTCATGTGTTAGCCTGAGTCTGAGTGTGTCTATCTGTGAGTAAACTTGTGTGTGAGTATATGTATATGCATACGTGTATGTGTTGTGTGAGTGTTCATGTGTTTGTGTGTATTTTCACACACATATTTGTTAGTGCTAGGTTTTTATTGTGCTACCATGGATAGTTTTCTTTCATTACCACCCATACCAACACACCACTGTAGAACCACAAGAACTGCTGATTTACACTATCTGTAATCACTGATGAGTAATTCATTCTCCGTCTCTATAGTTTTCTCATCTTAAGAAATTGTACAGGTGAGGGCGAGCGTCTCCCGGGCCGAAGGAGGAAGATGGCGGTGGAATCGCGCGTTACACAGGAGGAAATTAAGAAGGAGCCGGAGAAGCCGATCGACAGCGAGAAGACCTGCCCGCTCCTGCTGCGGGTCTTCACCACCAATAACGGCCGCCACCACCGAATGGACGAGTTCTCCCGGGGGAACGTGCCTTCGAGCGAGCTGCAGATCTACACCTGGATGGATGCAACCTTGAAAGAACTGACTAGTTTAGTAAAGGAAGTCTACCCAGAAGCCAGAAAGAAGGGCACGCACTTCAATTTCGCAATTGTGTTTATGGATCTTAAAAGACCTGGATATCGAGTTAAGGAGATTGGCAGCACCATGTCTGGCAGGAAGGGCACTGATGACTCCATGACCCTGCAGTCACAGAAGTTCCAAATAGGGGATTATCTGGACATAGCCATCACGCCTCCAAATCGGGCACCGCCTTCGTCAGGGAGGATGAGACCGTACTGAATTCTATTGACTTTCTTGAAGTTATTTTTCAGCCAGTTTGTAAAATAAACTTACTTAATCCTTTCAAAAAAAAAAAAAAAGAAATTGTACCGGTAGAAACATACAATGTGTGAGCTTTGGTGATTGTTTTATTGGCTCAGCATAATTCTCCTGAGACTTATTAAAGTTATTGTGTCAAGTGATTTTTCAAAACATATTTAATATATTATGTGCCAAAGTAATATCATGTCAATCTCTATTGAAGATTTTGCTTCAAGTCGATATGATCCTCTGGACCACAGTTAATGGTAAGTTAGGTAATTGAAATTAACCAGTAATGACTGGCTTTTGTTTTGCTTTAACAAAGGCACTTTATCCAGGATCATTAAAGAGCAGTTGAATACGTGATTTCAAGTACACATTGTTCTGTAAAATGTTCAGCTCAAAAACATTTTTTTTTTTTTTACTGGCATCTTGTTGCTGAAGTGCGGACAGTCAACAAAACATAAACAGACTTCTGGTTCAGTGAGAAGCTTTCCTTTAGACAAAACAAACCAACCAAGCAAACCAAGTTTATGGCAGGAAGGCCATGTGCTCAGTCAAGTGTTTGTCTTGTAAGTGTGAGAACACAGAATTGTCACTTAAAAGAACAGGCAGGAGAAAAATTAATACACTCAGTGCCAAATGTTGGCCTGCACATATGCCTACTCAGGCAAGTGCACCTGCCCATACACATATGTCCTCCCCCACACACGTGCTAACACGTATGCATGTATGCACATATGAGAGAGATAGACACACACAGAAAGACAGAGACAGATACACACAGAGAGACAGAGAGATGCACAGAGATATTGAGACAGAGACAGACACATACAAAGAGAGACACACAGGGACACATAGAGACACATAGAGGCAGAGAGACAGAGAGAGATAGACAGATACACCCCCACATACACAGAAAGAGAGAGAGAGAGAGAGAGAGAGAGAGAGAGAGAGAGAGAGAGAGAGAGAGA